TATCCAACACTTCTATGCTAATAAAATCGAATTGTTGATCTGTCATCTAAACGAATTGCATCGTTTTTACATTGCCACTGATCATTGGCCACTTTTTTTGTGCAATAAACAGATATGCTTAAAAAAAAAAAAAACCAGTTAACTGCACTTATTTTTCGCTTATATTTGGAAATATTATATGTAAGTTGAATCAGCGCAAAGATATTAGATACAAAAACCTAGAAACGTTAATTGAATACAGTATAAAGTTGCTAATTATAATTTCAAAAAAAAAAAAAAATTATAGGCGATAAATCAACAGAAGGTGGTGTCTGTAGGTGGCTAACAGATGGCTAATTTGCGTTTTATCATCAACCGTTGATGCTCTTGGAATCTCAGATCTTCAAACTGCTACTTTTTTTCCAGTCTTGTAGACGTACAAAAACTAAATAAAACTTCTCGTCTCTACTTTTCTATTATTCCATCTGTCAATAATATCGTTTCGTATTAACTACTTTTTCATATCAGTTTTCCTAACCACTGAAACAATGTTTAAGCCCATGCTGACGCTATAGTAATATACGTATAATTTTTACAAGACATGGAAAGCATTTATAAAAAAAACTGATTTTAAAAAATTTTCTTTTAGACATTTTGAAAATATCAACAAAAAAAAAAAACAGGTATCATTTACAACAATATTTTTCTTTCTTCTGATAAAGTGATGATAAGGTTTGAAGTTCAAAATCAATTATTGTCTTCTATTCATTGGAATGTAAACAAAGTTACAGAAGAAAGCTGTTGTGAAGAACACCATAAAATAAGCGCTCAGATATGTATCTGTATAAACAACGATCTAATCCAGAAACCTTCTATCTGTGTTATCCAATTCTTAGTAATTCTTTTCTATTAATAACAACAGTAATAATTACAACAATAATAGTAATAGTAAAAGTGATAATAGTACTAATAATAATAATCAGTTTTACTCACTGAGCATATTTCAAATAGTACCTGTTCTTCTAGTTTTTAAGTCTTCTTTTTCTTTCAATTTTTTGGCTTTATAAAGCTTTAAATTGCTGAATAAATTCAGCAACAGTGTTTAGAATAATTTAGACGCAAAAAAAAAAAAATAAATGAAATCATTAAAAAAAAGGAGAAAAAAAAAGAACTGTATAGAACAACAAACAAAAAAAAACATACTGAAAATGTTTCGTTGTAAGCAATTATAATTCAGTTATTGAAAATTTGTTGCAAACAAAAAAAGGTAATAAAAAAGCAGTGAAGAAGAAAAAAAGCTGAAAAAAAAACAGGATGAAAATTAGACTAGAAAACAAACGTCTATTAATAATTTACAGATATCGCTCGTTAGACCAATAGTTTAGGCTGGGCAAGAAAAGTCCAGGCTTACAACAAGACTCATATGTTATCGGTCTTAGTGGTATTTCCTGGTACCGCTTCGGCACCATCAGCGATCTCGGAATGATCCTGTCCTGGTGGCTGAAATTATAGCATATTTTCAATCGAACTTGTCTAAAGCTTAAACTTGAATATCAATTGAATAAGTCGACTAAAAGTTAGTCAAACATAATGTCTACAGAATAAAAGCTAAGATAACTGTTTAGTTTTGGCTTATTTTTTTTTTGCTATTTTTGCTCTGTTTTGCCTAATTTTTTCTTTCTCTGAATCATCTTTTTTTGACATCAAAAATTAGTAGATAAACTATGCTCAATTGAAGCACTATTTTTTAGAAAAATGATAGATAAGAGGCAATAAGAACAAAATGATAACTACATAAAACTGAGGGTTGTTTATAAGAAAAAAAAGCAGAAAGTAAAAGATGCAGGAAATACAGTAATTGTTTCTATTTTGCTTATCGATAATCTTCAAATTAAGAAAATTGTCTAGTTACTTGCCCCATTTTTACATTGCTGTGGTCTCAAACAAATACCAACAATTATTTAGTTTAACTGCTGTTTTTTAGTTTGTAATTTAGTTAATGTTTTTCAAGAATTTCATTTACCTGTTTTGAAAGTTTTTTCCAGTGTTCCTTTGCACTCAAATATTTTCGACAACGAAGAACTAAATAGATGGCAAAACCTTGCGCTGTAGTAAATAATACCTGAAAGCTTCAGCAATACAAAACCTTAAATGTGTCATTCTGTACAGTTTTTTTCTGCTCTTTTAAACCGGTTAAACGTGTCGATTAAAATTGCTAACGTATATAGAAAAAAAGCAAAAAAGAATACTTTAGTGAGGTAAAAATTTGATAAAATTTTAAAATTATATAAACCTAATCAATAGTTTTTATTTTCTTGTTTTTTTTTCATACACTGTTTTACTTGACTGTAAAAACCTCAGAGCTTCTCTAAAAGTAGTATAAAAAACATAACTGGAAGAAAAAGGTAGAACTTAACGACAAACAAATTGATGTATCATCAACCAACTAATGTATTGTTTTTTGATACTTTAAAAGCTGCAAATAATAAAACGGAAAAAAAAGTGTTCTTTAACAACACAGTTATATTTATTTTAAAAAAAAAAAAAAAGGAAAAAAGAAAAACTTTTCTTCTTGATCAACGATTACCTGAAAAATAACCCAACCAAAATCGTATCGAACTTGTCCAAGCAGCAGTCTATGTATGTCGATTGCTGTTGCCACCAATGTGATTGATGTAAATACCACATTGAGAACAAAATTTGAGCAATAAAATATCAGAAATGGTGTTAAATATCGCTTATTCTCCTTATAGATTCCATAAAACAATAAATAATGACAGGGTAAACCAAAAAAGATAGCGAAGATTAAGTCTACTGAAAAAAAAAA